CATCGGCAGCATATCGACGAGGAGTCGGCGCCACCGATCACCGAGGCGGATCCGTCGGGCACGACGATCGCGATGGAATCGCTCGACGATCTGATCCCGACGCTGGGCGGCCGTGATCGGGAGATAATGAGTTGTTTCCCAGAAGGCCTGGCGATTCTGCTCTTCGAACTGAAGATAGGCAGTGGCGATCCGACCCAATCGGGTACCGGCGCCTCGATGGTGTGCCAGATCGAAAGTCAACGGATCGGCCGGGTTCTGCAGCGCCTGCCAGGGGCGATCGGCCATCAGCGCGGTGATGTTAGGTCCGGTGATCAGGTCGTCTCGATAGCCAACCCCGGCCGCAGGCTGTGCAATGCCCCGAACGACGAGCGGGAAGAGCCAGCCCCCGGGTAGGAGGAGATGATGGGTCAGCGTCGACAGGATCATGCCGGTGATCTGTAGCTGTCCCAGCAGGATCGAAGGCCAGGGGTCTGTATCAGTCTGAGCGAGCGCCCTGGGGGCGTTGAAACCCGGGATCATGGTACCGATCGGGAACAACGGCGGGGCCAGAGGACGACGCCCCGGCGATCCAGGCGGAGAACCGGGCGGCGGCGATCCAGGTGGAGAACCAGGCGGGGATCCCGGAGACGTCGGTCCAGGTGAGCCATGACGGGACTGATACGTTCCGTGGGACGATTGGGAGCGAGCCGATCCAGATTGGGAGTGAATTGACACGACGGAGGGCGATCGCGATCGCGAGCGAGCCGGCGAAGTGTGGGTACGGGCCGGCGAGGCAGATTGACGGCGGCAAGCCTCCGATTGGGATCGAGCTAAGGCTGCGAGAGCATCCTGATCAGACCCCTCCGACTCGTCTTCTTCTTCGTCGGTCTCTTGATCGGGCCCCTCCGATTCGGAATTTTCCTCGTCGGCCGCGGATCGGGCCGGAGACGACTCCTCCTCTTCCGACCGGTCTTCCTGCGTAGATCGAGGGGGCGAACCTGACTCTTCTTGGTCCGATCCCTCTTGATCGTTCAGATCGGAAGGCGGTTGATCCGCAGCAGGCACCTTCTTTGCGGGTTGATCTTCGGCGGGCTGACCCCCAGCGGGGAGTTCATCGTCCTGGTCGGGTAACGAAAAGGAAGGTGAGGGAGACCGAGCGGGCGATCGACTCGTAGACCGACTGCGTGGTGGAGGCGCCGATCGGGCACGTTTGTGGATGTGCCCGACGGAGTCCGGAGATCCGGAGCGACTGCGGCTGCGACGGACAGGCGTGGTCGGCGCGCACTGGCGAAGTCCAATCCACCGAACCACGCGAGATAAGGCGTCGGCCACATTCTCGAGATCCTCGTTGGATCGATCGCTGACGCGCCACAACATAGCGTAGGCGTCCTGGACGTCGATGAATTGGGCGTCTTGGGCACGGATCACTTGTTGCGCGTTTTCGAGACACGATCCTGTAACACAGCGACGGCATGAGCAGCGATCGACAACGGAATAGGCGACACGGAAAGTTTACGTACGGAGATCCGCGTTCTCTCGGAGCGCAACGTCGCGGTCCTGATGAGCTTGATCGACGTCTTCCACGGCAGCGGTGGCTTGGTCTCTCGCGGTATCTCGGGCGGTACGCATCCGATCCAGCTCCTCATTCACCTGGCGGAGGGCAACCTGCAGTCGATCGACGTCGGGCGTGGGTCCGGTGGGGGGCGTCGGGGTTGGAGCGGCCGGAGTGGCCGCGGCTGTTTCGGCCATCCGAAGGGCAGTCTGGACCCGATCGAGGCTACCGCGTGTAAGGTCCAGCTCGTGGTTCACCTCGTCCAGCTCGCGCTCTTGCTCGGAAACTTGCGATCGGAGGTCCGAAATGTCCGCCGTGGCGAGATCGAGCTGGTAGTCCAGTCGATCACGATCGGCACTAGCAGTCGCGAGGTGGGCCTGAGCGCGCGTCAGCCGACGATCCAGATCCTGGATCTCGGCGACTTGCTGGGCTATCTGATTCCGGAGGCCTTGGATCAGCTGCAGACCTTGATCCTGGGCACTCTGCTGAAGGTTGCTGACTTCGGTCTGCAGACGGCGGATCTCTGCATCTTGCGCCCAGCGGTGGCGCTCCAAGTCGTGTAGGTTCGCGGTCAGCTCGCGCACGGTGTCGTCCTGGCGCGCCCGGTTGCGGATCATAGTCGATCGGGAAGCGTAGGCGCATGCCAGCTCATCTTCTAGGCGGGCGATTCGGCGGGCAGCGTCGGAAGAAGCCGCGGCATGACGGGAGGTCGTCGATCGCGTCGATCGAGGGGTCGAATGAGTCGACCGGGGCGAGCCGTGTGTCGAACCGCCGTCGCCCAACGGACTGGGCGGATGCGCCGGGGGTTGGTCGGCGGTGCGTCCATCTGGAGTAATCTGCGCTTGGGCCGGCGAATTGGAGAATGACCAAGGTCGAACTGTCCGAAGTGAGCCGCCGTGCGACACAACTTGCGGCCAGGGGCGGATGTGGAGAAGTGCTGAATAAGAATTGTTCTCCGAGAAAGGCGGCAGGGCCGATCGACTGGAGGCGTGGGAGATCGGCGATCGAGAGACAGGCAGCAAGGATCTACGGATCAGAAGGAGTTCTTCGGGAGATCTCAGGTGGTCCGTTGATGCCGGCGCGTAAGGCAGGACATGTGGCAAGCCGGATTGTGGGTGATCGTGCCCGAACCGCGGCGTGATTCGTGGCCGACCCAAGTCCAGATCGACGACAGAACCCGCGGATCTGAGATGGCCGAGGACAGAAGGTGATAGATCGGCGGCGCATGGCAACCGGCATAAGTCATCGATCGGGAGTGGATCGCCGATCGAGATCGATCGCCGATCGCCGATCGGGGCCGATCGTGGATCGACCAGGATGGGACGCACATGGAGGACGAAGTCGGGGCAAGAATCCAGTAATCGTGTGGTTGTAGGAGGGTAAGCAAGATGGTAGCATTAGGGAGAGACCAGCTAAACATAAATCAGAGCAGAATTTGCACCGAAGACCACAAGTCCCATCAAGTCACCAAGTCCCAGGAACTACATTGGCCTCGGCAGCGTCGACACTTTGGGTAGTAAACTAGCGGTACGGTTAAGACTGGATTAATACATTGGTCAGCTTGACCGACTCTAGTGATCTATCTCTTGTGTGCAAGTCCTTGATCGACCGGGTATTGGTGCTTGGCCGGCGATCGTTTCTCCTCTCGATCAACCTCGATCCCGCTATAGGAAGCGGCATGCAACTCAGGAAAGGAAGGAACACACCCGGAAAGGCAACCACAGGCCTTGGATCAACTCCAGGCCGACCGATCGCAGCGAACAACCCTCGATCGGAGCGTATACTCGGACGCAGAGCGAAGACTACCGCGCTGCTCCACAAACTATCCCCGCGTCACGCCAAGATACTCGATCTTCACCAAGTGCTGCATCTTCGGAGCCCCGAGAGAGCAGATCCAGCCCGCCGACGGGTACACAAGGTGAGAACAAGTTCAGCCGATCACGGATCGTTGGGGGGCCCCTCCGTTAGTCGGTGTCTGGGCGCTGGTGGGAAGCTTGATCAGGCCTTAACCAGATTTTGGCCGATCCCGCTACACCACAACAACGTGCGATGAACCATTTCCTCGGTGGCCGCGGCATGTATTTTGGATTGTGGCATGAGGTCAGGGGTATATTCTGGGAACTCCTTGCGGAGCTCGGCCTCAGCCACATTTGCCGGAGTCGACGCCAAGCCTACCGGTGTTTCGCCACTGTTCGTAAAGGATAGGCCGCTCTCCTCGCCTGCGTGAGTTTCCGTACGCGGTAGACTGGAGTCATCGCTGTCCATACCAGAGATCACCTGACCGGGATCGGTAGAGATCACGTCCTCCTCGGTTTCGGTCACCCTAGTCGGATCAGTCGAATTTTTCATCAGCTGCATTTGAGGATGTATGTCGTCCAGTGTGAGTCACGTGCATTCTTCTGACGTTGCTACTGCTTCAACGGTCTTCACTTGTGGAGGCCGTGCTAAAATCGCAGTCGGAGTCCGGTAGCTAGGACGCTCGACCAGCGGTCCAGACTCTTCAACTTCCGCTTCGTTTGCATCTCCAGTGTCCACAGCTGCTTCGAACGCAAGTGTTTGCCACTCCCGATAGCGGTTTGAATCCTTCCTAGCGAATCCAGGTCGACACGGGATCTGCCCAACGGGTAACCCGATTGCCAAACACACCAAACGATCCAGTACCAGGCGGCTCGTGCTGATGTTGGTGATCCGGAGGTATGACTTGTTACTGAATCCACCATTCACCACCGTGATCACCCATTTTTCCCCTCTTGTTACCCACAGTTCAAACCGCTTGTTGTGGGACTTGAGTGAGATCTCTGTCCATTGGCCAGGACCGACTTCATGGAATCCCGTTGCGTAGACCGCGTCAGCCTTGCTGCTATACAGTGACTTACGGTCGGTCATCTGGATGCGAACTTCGTCCGGCAGACAGAGCGTTCCATCAGCCAGGTCCAACCTCACCCCCGCAGGAACCATAAAATCCATGCCGAGAATGACGTCTTGTCCTGAGAGATCTCCAACCCACACACGGAACTTGTACACCAACTCTCCAGCCAGAGTGAGCTTGACTTCTGCTCGGCCTTCTGTGCGGTACACAGCATCCCCCACACCAACACAATCCATTGTCTGTGTTGTATCAATTTCACAACCCACCTTACGTGCAAAGGTAGAGTCGATTATCGACACTTCGGCTCCAGTATCAAAGAGCAGGACGGCACGGACATTGTTGACCGCACCGGTCGCCTTCGACTGCTTGAACCACTTGGAGGGAGTGTAATACTTCCAGTAACCTCGGCGTTCACCCGGCGACAGTCGAAGGGCCATCACACAAAGGCGACGCGAATAGTCATCTTCATCCGAGGTAAGAGATCTGACTGTATTCACCGCGTGACATCTTCTAACGCTCGCGCCTTCCTCTGAACATATGCATAAATGCAGAACTTCGATCGCTCGTCACGTACCAGGCTGTTCAGGCCTGGCGAGCGGTCTAGTTTAACGCCTTCTCGACGCTCTCGGGCAGCAGTCCGGCATGGCGAGTCGGGTTGTACCATTGGCGAACAGCATCGAAGAAGTCGCCGATTTTACACTGACCTGCTTCGTGAACGTCTCCACAGCACTTGCAGACGTAGAAGCACTTGTCGGTAGGATGGCCCATGCGTCCACACTTCTGGCATGTGAGCCTTTTCCAGCACCCGAGATCCGTATGCTTGCGAGATCCGCAGTGTGAGCATCGAGTGCCGTACTTCGGGCGCCCCAGTTGGTCTTCGCGGTCTTGGCGCGCTCCTGGCTGTTCACCATCTCCTGGTGTAGGCGTCCTAGCTGCCAAAAACACGTGCGCTCTTTCGTCTTCAGATTCGCTATCGGAACTGCTTGATTCGCCCTCGAACTCGTTGAGATCTCCGTGATCTCCGCGGCGTCCGCGACCGGTAGTCACAACCCACACCGCCCTCGAGGAGGCTGCAGGGGCGGGAGCCTTTTGGCGGTATTTCGAACCTTGGGTCTCAATCTTGCGACGTTGGTGGCGGCGTCGCATGGCCAACAGGACGCCTTCGAGAGCTTCTGAGTCAGGCAGCCTCAACACTACCAGAGATCCGGCGAGATCGTCATCTTGGACTGTATCGATGTAGTGGTCGACGTGTTCACGTCGTTGTTCCTTGGTGCCATCATGGATCTTCAAGTTTGCACGTATCCCGGCCAGATTCAGCCGGTATAAGTAATCCAGTGGGTCTTCCTGACTCCCGCGCTGCATGTGGTAGTACTTGCGCGCGAGGGAGATCCCTTTACCGCAAAAGTGGATCTGGAACTGTTCACCCAGGTCAGTCCACGACGCGCGAGCAGTGCGGCTCAGCTGGAAATACCAATTGCGCGCAGGGCCTATCATCAAATCGGCAAATGTCAAGCACATCTCGTCTGGCTGCATCTGATCCCATCGGAAGGCCGTTCTAACCTTGTTGAACCAGGCTCGGGCGGCTTCTTCGTCATGTTCCTTGCCGCTGAAGTCCTTCAGTTCGGACACAGCCGATGCTCGCAACCTAGTCGCCGTGGACACAGCTGCGACACGACCTCCGGTTCCGCCACCTCCATCATAGCCGAGGTCATCGGATAGGTCATGGAGATCTCCTTGGTATTCCGGTTGTGTCTGGGATCGGTACCCAATACGTGGCCGAGCGGGAGACGCAGTGACTGGTTGCATCTCAACGTCTTCAGGCTCGTCTCGCTCGTTCGCAAACTGGTAAAGTAGATCTTCAGCCACATCGCCGGGGCGATCGGGCTCTGTTGCAACCTCTTGAGCCTCCTGGATCCTCCCACGTGGTCCTCTCGCTGGGCGAGTCTGCGCAATATTTGACACTTGCGCAGACTTCCCGCGTCCTACATCGTTTGCAGCGATCGCTGGGATCCCTTGCGCACGTCGTTCTCGGCGGGACACACGCGGGGCCGGTGGAGGCTTCTTGGTTGAGGTAGTGCTCCTCATGAGAGCGTCACCGTCATCTTCAAACTTGAAGGAGATCCGCGAATCGTCCAACCGAGGAGGTGTGAGGTCTCCGGTCGGCAACGGCGCGGATGAGTCATCTGCACTCGGGACGAGCTTCTGCAACACTGCGTACACCCGTGCGAGCGTAAGGACGGTGGTTTCCAGATCGTACTCGCGTACATCGGTGGAGATCCGCTGTTCATGTACCTTGAAACCAGCATCTTCGAGCACGCAGAACAGCATCGTGACGGCGTGAAGCGGATCTCGGATTGTTAGCGTGCGCGGGTTGCGAACTGGACCCGTGAGAGGCCATGGCATCGTCAGCCCCAACTTACGCAGGAGCGGATCTCTCTGGAGCAGGAACGCAAGCTCTTGACGGAAGTAGTTGACATCAGCTTCACGAAATCGTTTGTCTTCATCGTGAGTGTCGTTGCTGGGGCCATGGACCGCTAGCGCCGAGATCTCCAATTTCTCCGTTTTCTTCTCGGCTTTCTTCTTCGCATCTTCGACTTCCATGTAGTCCATCGCAGCGTCTAGAGCATCGCTTCGGGCAGCGGGGTCGCGGATGACCCCCTTCAGATGCTCGCGCTCCAGGTTTCGACCTCGCTTTTCAGCGACGCCGGGGTCCCGCTTAGCAGCAGGTCCAATGGAACTCGGTTTTTGGACCGAGTCCCGGACGGCTCCTTTCGGAGCCTTAACGGGGAACTTCTCTTCGTAAACGAAATCCTTCGGCTCAGGCGTCCCCATTGCCTGTCCGTCGGTGGACCTAGTGTTTTCACGTTTAACTTCCGCCGGTCCCAGCGGAGTTCCGTCTTCCCTCACCTCACCTCACCCTTCACCTTCACGTCCCCTTTCGGACTAGTAGATCCGGGCACGCGCACCATTGTGGTGGAGTCCCTCAGATAAAAACTAATAAACTCCCACACGTGTCCTGCCACGCAACTACGGGGGGGGGGGGGGTTACCCCTGCAAGCCAAATACCCAAAGACAACGAGAACTAGTCCCGAGATCTCTAGGCCTCACCTTGTGTACCCTTGTAGCAAGACTCGGATCTTTATCTAGCGTAATTCCTAGAAGACGTGTAATATGAAGGGGTGAATATGGGGTTCCTTACACTCGCAGGCAGAGACTTAGGTTAACTCTGTCGCGGATGCATTTGTACAGCGAGGTAACTCTTCCCACTGTACGACAACTTGTTGTACAATACGTACGAGATCTACTGGAGATCTCCTGCCGCAGCTAGTCTGCGGGTCCAAACCAAAGTGCGAGACGCACACCAATACCTTACTAAACCGTTTAGAGTGTCCTACTGTCGAACACTGAGAGCTGATCTCCTGAGTCCAGACAATGCAACACACTACGCTACTAGAAGGTTACCGGGGAGGCCAAATCAATCCAGAACCCCGAGTACACTTCGCAAGTAGGTAGGAAACAGTCACAGTACACACGTAGGCGCTAACCACACAACACAAAGACTAATATGAAGAAGTACCTTGTCTCGTTGTTGGGAATTCTGAACTGAGCTGCCTATCTACCGGCGGCTCGTCTGCCAGCCAACCAACCAACCAGTATGCTGCACGCCTTTACCTCATGACGTCATCTGCTGTCTCCGTGCGGTGTCATCGTCCTTGTTACGGGCCTCCCCGTTCTGGATCTCCGTAAATACGCCATCGGGTTTCGTAATCAGTCGCCGGCCTTCTATACGGGACTCCGAGCTAATATGTCCCATAATTCAAGTGGCTCACTCTCGGGTCACCTTCGGGTAACCTCTGGGTCCATCGCCTCACAATCCTTCAACCCGCATTACGACACCGCGGAAAAGGCTCGGAGAGCTGAAGAGCACAATGCATCACTTGGCAGGAAGGAGAAGGAAGCTACAACAGGCGTTAACGAGAATAGAACCTCGGTCGACCGAGCACCGAGTTCCCCTGACCATGGCGGAGCTACAGTCACGAGAACGAGGCTTCCTCTGCAGCCTGGAAGCAGAGTGTGGCTGTACATGGAGCGGGTCCGACCAGGACTGACCAAGAAACTAGCCCATCGGTGGCACGGACCGTTCCGAGTGAAGAAGAAGGTCGACGAGTTTGCGTATGAGTTGGAATTACCTGACCGAAGTGGATACCGGTTCTACCCGGTGGTGCATGTTTCACGACTCAAGTCGGTGGACGAGTTCGAAGGCCGACCGAGGGTTCGTTTGGCTCGTGAGGTCACAGACGACACTCGTCTTGACTTCGACGAGGAACTACTGCCTGAAGACAGCTTTGAGCCGGACTACTTGGACGGCGAATATGAAGTCGAGGCTATCCTCGATGACCGGACCCCGTTGTCAACGAGTACTCACCGGGCCGTCCGAGAGTTCAAGGTGAAGTGGGTCGGCTATGACGAGCCGACATGGGAACCAGCGTCCAATCTCTCGTGCGGTGGCCTCCTGTACGATTACCTACGCCGGAAGCGACCGACGTTTGCAAATGGGCCAGGTGGCCGACGAGGAGGAATTCTGCGCCCCAACGAGGATTGAACTGCTCGCGGGGGCAATCCAGCCCACGATGTCAGACGAACGAGGCTACTGGAGATGATGATTGAACTGCCTGCGAGGGCTATCCAGCTCGCAGTGACAGACGAAGAAAGTTACTGGAATCTGCATGTTACGTGTTAAGTGAACGAGTCACGATGGAATGGAGATATCGGAATGGAGTCAGGAACAACGGAAGACGCAAGCAAGCCTCGGTCAAACCCTCACCAGACGAAACAAGTGATGATGAAGCAAATGGGAGGGCGACCGAGGCTTCGGACGCAGTGATTGTCATGGAAGTAGCACGAACAAGCGCACTCGACTTCGTGGTTGAGTATGGAGTTGATGGTGAAATGGGTATGCAAGCTGTCGACACCGGATACTCGCAGCAGGCCGGGTGTACAGTTGTCAAAATTGGGCTGTCATGCGAAAACATATCCGCAACGGAGCTAGCGTAAGTACGCCCGGTCTCCCGCGAGTCAAGTCCGGTCTTCAACGAGCATAAGCCCGATCTTCTTGCTGGGAGACAAGACGAAGCCCGGCTGCCGCAGCTACGAACCAAGCCTCGTTTGAGGCAGCCACAGCGGTCGAGGGCAGAGAAGAAGCTCTGGGAACCGCGACCGAGTATTGAATGCGATGTGCGTTGATGCGAGAAAAGATTATGAAATGGAACGAACAACATGACGTTATTTTGGATTGGGATAGCACATGCAGCGTCGCCTAAAGCGCCACGAACCTCGGTCGACATTGGAAAAGAACGTGAACGAAACGGTGAAGTTGGAGCGGGGCCTAACGAGGCTAAATCTCCATCACAGCCTGAGCCAACACGCCCAGACTTGACCCGGCGGCGGAAGAAGCTACACCCGATTCCTTCGTCTCCTCATCGGGGCTTGGAGAGCGAGAACGACGAGCGTTTGCGAACTCGGCCACCCATGGAGCGACCACCATCGAAGTCCGCAGAGAAGATTCAACCACGACCGACGACGCCACGGTTTCCCGAGTCGATCCGTTGGGGACAAACAACGGGACGTCGTTGCAAGGGGCGAAAGCCGTGTTGTAGGGGTGGTCTGCCGGCGCTTGGAACCAACAGTTACGCCACGGCTCGTGGGCATCCACGTCCGCCACCTCGGAGGCCCAGTCGTCGGTAGTGGGGACCCACTCCATCACCTCGAACGAGTATTGCAGGTACGACGGCTCCAGCAAAACCTCGGTGCGGTGCTGTGGAGGTTGTCCGTCGTACGTAATGGTCCCATTCCACACCTTGTGGAGCATCTGGTCTCGCAAGCGATCTGCACGATAACTGCGCTCTCGGTGGTACTTGGACCACGCTTGTCGAAGCGCTAGGACTTGCACGTTGCGCTGACCGAGGATGCTGGCGAGGTTGTCGATATACGCCTTGACAGCTTTACCCCTAATTCAGTGGCGACGCTCCCACAAGGCGAAACCAAGGTCGCCCCTCTCGGTGGAGTGGTAGGAGTACCCCTGGAACTGCCGCCATAGGCGAACGAGAAGAGCCTGACCAGTTGCACGACGGGATATAGCCACCGAGGATGGAAAACCCGTCGTATCGATCAAACAAGGCTCGTCTGGGAAAAGCTGGCGCAACACTTGGAAGGGGTGAGCAGGATCCGTCCACAAGCCAAACTCCACGATTCCATCCACTGAACTGGGGGCGACCAAGTCGTCCTCGAAGACGAGGGGAACACTGGCGTTTTGGATGAGATGCCAGCATTCCGACGCCCCGGGTACCGTGAAACCCGGCCTCAAGAACAGGGTAGCAAGCCCACTGAGCTTACGCGATCCACGAGCTACGTCGGAAGCGTCAACCACGGCTGGGGCAATCGACGCAGGTCCATCCCTCGGTGAAGCTGTCACCGTTGCTGTTACCATCGCCTGAGCGTGAGCAGAGGCCGACCGAGTGTGGAGTCGACTCGGGAGTGGCACGGTGGCCGCTCGTGAAGCTACAGGAACCCCGGTCGCGGCAGCCAGAGGAGAAGGAGCCTCCGAAGGAGCGACAGGTTGCGCCACCGAGGTTTCCTCTCTTTCGTCGGGGCCGAACATCTCCAGGAACAACGCTGCGCGGTTCTCGGAAGTCTCGGACTCATGAGGCGACTCACCGCTAGGTGAACGGCCTGGCGGGCCGCCAGAACCCTCGGTGACCCCAGCAGCCGATTCTCGAGGGGCACGGCCAACGCCGGCTGTACCAGACGAGACTGGCGAAGGAATGGAAGTCGCCGCCGAAGGCGAAACCTCGGATGGAACCTCGATGACAGTACCGGAAGGCTCGGTAGCAGAACCTTGAACACCCTGAGCGCTGGCCGACACCTCCGGAATCTCGCCGGGCTCAAGGTCATCTTGTGAAGTGTCGCTAGGACTCATATCCCCTCCAAACTCCACGTCAGACGATTCCTGCTGCTGGGCTGGGGCTGGCGAGGGAGGCGAGGCGCGACTGGCCAGCCGAGGATACAAGGGGACGTCTGAGTGTTCGTACGGGAGAGGCTGAGACTCCAACCAGCTTGAGCGAGCCGTCGTTGGAGGACGCACCATCGACCGAGGAGGCGGGGAAATCTCTCCTGATGCTGAACGAGGACTAGATGGCGCGGCGGCCGCTGCAGCCCTGGCCCTCGGGTCGACTGACGGTCTGCCGAAGCGTTTGTGAGGAGGAGGCTGGGGTGCCGTATTCCCGACGGAAGCAAACTCGGTTTGCCGACCCCGCTTGCGCGATGACGACTCAGTGGAGACCGGGGAGCCAGCAGAAGCGCCCACCGAAGCAGCGGGAGTGGACGTAGCCTCGGTGGACTCAGCCATCGGCACGTCGGTCGTCTTGGACTCCTCTCCCTCCTCTGACGAGGATTCGTCATGGCGTGGACTCTCGACAGTGACTGTCGGTGGGGATAGCCCGAGAAGATTCCAATCAATCTCTGCAGCGGAGATGCCGGCTGAAGCCAGGACCAAGGTGTCGACGTCGAGTCCGTGTGCTGCCGAGTGCCGACGAAGGATAGAATTCGCTCGCCGTAGGCTGTTGTTCTCGTCCGTCAACGCGTGAATGCGTGCGGGGATGACGTTTGCTCGGTCACGGTCGGCCAACTGCTTCCGAAGCCTCTCCAACTGAGTGTTGTAGGTAACGAGGCTTGCACTTATACGCTCGTGGAGCTGGGTGTTCCGACGTACAGCAGCGGCCGAATCGGCCTCAGCAACGAGCGTCCGCTTCTCCAACGACTGAGTGACATCAGCGTGGTGAGCGATGGCCACATCAACTGAGCGCTGGCGTTGCTGAGCTGGACGCGCATGTCCTGGACGAGGTCCAGAGCTTGGTCGCACTCAGAGTTGGCCGAGACGAGGAAGTAGTCCGACTTGGTCCGCAGGTCCATCTCTTCAGCGAGTTTATCTTTGGCGTCGGAGAGCTCTGCCTGTAGCCTGTCGTTCTCGCGACGGAGGGCCACCAGTTCATCAACCTCCGCAAGAGGGAGACGCGGAGGAGCAACGGCAGCAGCCAGCACCTCACCGACGTTAGTGGCAGCTTGCAGGCTGCGGTCGAGAGCAGCGTTGACTCGAGCTGGAGGTGAATGGGCAACACCCACGACGAGACGAGCGAGTTCCAGCATCTGCTGCTCGCCCAAGACGACCGCTGTCGGAGGAACCTCGGCCGGGCCAGCACCAGCTCCGGCGCGACCCCCTACAGCTGCCTCGCCCCCCACCGACGCCCCGCGAGTTGCCAACGTGACAGAAGGCGCGGGAGTTGGCGACGGTGGAGCGCTGGCGCTTGGCGGCGGTGTCGGCGGCGAGTCGGGAGCCTCTTCACTGGGAACTGCCGGCGAGGGAGTCTCAGTCGCCCCAGCAGCAGACTCAGGACTACTTGGAGGAGCCGGTGGAGGGTCGACCGAGGTCCCGGAGGCGGTAGGAATGAGCGTAGGGTCACCTGCAGGCGCGGCCGGGGCTGGAGGCACAGCAGCAGCGGCGATAGGGGCGGGGGCACCCGCCGAACGAGCCTGGCGCGCCGGACGACGACCCGAAGTGTCGGTGGCGACATCAACAGCTCCCTGAGATGATCAAGAAAGAGATGGAGTCAACAACGAGGATCCGAATGACAGTGAGGAGCAGCGGGAGCGACGAACGTACCGGTCCGGAGCACTGGAGAGCCCGAAGAGCAGCGGCAGCCGCGTGCGACGGAGGAGCCATGGAGTGGAAGAACTGAGGACGCCTAGACGCTCACCAGCGTGGGAGGCTCGCGTCGAGGCGGGGGCAGTTGTGGTATTGGAAAGTGGTAGTTTCCAACGCTGTTGACCCGCCAGCCCGACAGTCAAGTTCAATCAAGGGGCAATCAAGGCGAGGTTAAGCGAGAGACGGAGATGGCTGCTTCTGAATGGATGATGACATTATCCTCGGTAGAGTGACAGTCAGTGGCCGAAGCCTCGTCGGGTCCTAATAGAACCCCGAACGAGGCTTCATGGCACCCACGTTTAGGTACAGATGCATTTAGTTACGTACTTCGGCCGTGTAGCCATGGTCGCCATTTGATGTGTCCGGAATCGCCTTATTGCGATCGTTCACACTAGATATTTGTATAGGGACATAGGACTCATCATAGGATGGCCAGAACGAGGCCCCGAGGGCCTCATAAAACTCAGTAATAAAAAGACAGTCTTCGCCCAAAGCCAACAAGGGTCAAGTCCGACTTCGGTAAGGGTAGCTAGCTTATTGTAGTGCCTGGACACGCTCGGCTGCGTGTGGATGCCTGTCGGGGAGCTTATCGTGCATTGACCGAGAGTTTCCTTCGCAGCGCCAAGAGTTGGCGTGGCCGGAGAGGCAGGAACGGTATTAGAGTATCGTTCAGTATATATTTGTGGGATTAGAGTGTCCCTGAGTGTATTAGTCTACCTACCGAGGTTTTACCTTGGTCCCCCTGTATAAGGCCTAACACGCTGGTACCCTTCCTTTCTGAGGGACTGCAGTGGGGTTGCGCGAAAGCGCTACATAGTATCCTAGCCTTAGCTCGTGGCTAGCGGTACAGGTTTTGGGGTTGACCGAAGACAACCTAAGGTGCACAGAGGCGCTTGCAACCGACCCGGTGTAAGGGATCGTTCCTGGTCTTCAGGTTTTGATCCAATAAGCGCTTACCTTTGCGGGTTAGCGTGTTGTTGGTATCTCTAATACGTTTTGGTAGAGGAGGATTTTAGTGGAATTACCACACCACAGATAGTCTCGATGGGTTTCGTCATTCCCCTGCCGAGGATTCGGCGAGGGAACACGGCGCTGCTGCTGTTCCAGCGTGCATTCACGGGGTTTGTAATGGGTAAAGCCATGGCCGACACCTCAGCCATATGCGTCGCGCAAGCTTTCGAAGAGTGCGTCTACCGAAGATTCGGTGCTCCTACCCTCATCCGACACGACAGAGATCCTCGCTTCTTGGGTGAAGTCTTCCAAGCGTTTACGGAAATGATGCAATCGAGGTCTCGGGCCACCCTGAGCAATCGGCCACAAGCCAACGGCCAGCAGGAACGCTCGGTTAAGACTGTCATACAGTCCGTCCGAGTGTACGCGGAAGACCCGCTGCAACAGGACTGGGATTAGATAGTGGAGAAGCTGATCTTTGCTATCAACAACTCGCAGGACGCCACGCGCAAGGACACGCCGTTCTACCTTGTACACGGCTGGGATGCGCGGACGACACTTCGAGCCACTGAAACGAGGCCGCGGTCGCCAAACCGATGCCTTGGCTTGGAGAAGAGAAGTCAATCGGCAACAGGAGATCGCGTTGGAGATAGCCAAAGAGTACCAGGCGACAGAGAAGCCAAACGAGCCGAGAAGCACAACGAGACCCTGAGTCGACGCGAACGAGAATCTCTGTCGACGTCTGACCGAACCGAACCTTCAGGTGAAGACACTGAAACGACGGACCTGACTGATGACTCGTCTGCCGAAACCTCGAAGTCGCTCTTCGAGCCGGGTGATCGTGTCTGACTCTACATCGAGCGTGTGAAACCAGGGCTGACGAAGAAGTTGGCGCATCGTTGGCATGGCCCCTTCCGAATCAAGAAGAAGGTGGACGAGTACGCGTATGAGCTGGCTCTACCAGACCGGAGTGGGTATAGATTCTACCCAGTTGTCCATGTGTCTCGGCTAAAAAACGTGGACGAGTTTGGAGACCGGCTGAAGACTCGGTTGGCAACTGACTTCACGGACGGGACGATACTAGACTTCGATGAGGAGCTTCTACCCGAGGACAGCTTCGAACCGGACCACCTCGCTGGTGAGTACGAGGTTGAGGCTATTCTGGACGATCGGACGCCGCTCTCGACGGGCACTGAACGCGCGGTCAGAGAGTTCCAGGTGAAATGGGTTGGTTACGATGAACCCACGTGGGAGCCCGCGTCCAACCTGTCGTGCGGAGGGATGCTGTACGATTACTTGTGTGCCAAGCGCAGCGATCGTCGTTTGCAGATGGTCCAAGTCGCAGACGAGGACTAGATGCGACTGGCGCAACGTGATGAACTGCCGGCGGGGCGATGCAGCCCGCCTCAGCAGACGAAAAGAACTACTGCAGCAACATTTACTACATATATGCATATTGTACGAACTCTCGGGTGGATCCTACGAACTACTCAAGTGGAGATATGGAGATGCTGTTTGAATTTGAAATTAGAAATCTGACGACGCCTACAGACTGAGAAACACTACACTGCGTCGGGAAGACTACGTTCAAGCTGGGCAGAAGAAACGAAGAGGAGAAGACGAGCCTACGGCTTCGACGCGGAAGCGGCGTGAGCGAGCACTTGGAGGTGGCCAGAGCCAGCGGCGGAGGTGTCAGCTTCTCAACCGAGCCCTCGATCTGGTTGTCCTCATCGCCGGAGCTGAGGACGGGCTCGTCTGATCCAGTCGGAGGCATCGGAACGAGGCTCGACTCGGGAGAAGCAGCATCGTCCGAGCGCTCGGGCGAACGAAGAGTCGGCGCCCCGTTTGGAGAGTCATCCGGCCGTGGGTCATTCCCCGCTACCTCTCGCCCTTCTGGAGCTGCTTGAACCGAGCTTTCATCGGGAAGCTCCTCAGCAGGAGCAGGAATGCCGTAGTAGTGGGTGTACTCCCGGACCCACGGAGCCGAGACCTCGCTTCGGTCGAGCATCGGGCTGACGATAACTGCGGACGCCACCTCCTGGATAGTGAACCCGCAAGGAATAGAGCATCGCCCCAGGGTTGCATGGTGCGAACTTGGTGTTGTAGGGGTGCATGCTCGACACGGCAATCCAGCAGTTACGCCAAGGCTCGTGGCCATCAGCTTCAACGACTGCCTCAACCCAATCTGCCGAAGACGGAAGCCACGAGAGCGTTTCGAGGGAGTAGTGCAGGACCGAGGGCTCGAATAATACCTCGGGAGTGTAGCCGAATTTCCCATCCGCATCGGGCAGCAGTTGGGCCCACCAGCGCTTGATCTTAATGCGGAGGCGATCGGACCGAGCGTTGCGCTCAGCCGAGTACTTGAGCCACGCCTCCTGGATGGCTAGATACTCTTCGGAATCCTCTCCGAGTCTTCGACACAGACGGTCGAGCCATCGCTCTACTGCCGCCGGAGACACCCAGTGCGCACGCTCGTACAACGCAAAGGTGGTCGATCACCTCAACGCTCTGAGCGAGAGCTCGGTTCGCCGTAGCGAGTTGCCGGCTAATGGAGTCGCGCTCATCGCGAAGAGCCTGGGCAACCGCAGCCAACTGCCCTCGCTCAGCCGACGCCTGGGTACACAGCCGCTCCGTGCGGAGACGGATGTCGTTCTCGCTGTTGAGCCTGCGCTCACTACGAGCCGCGGCTACCTCGAGACGACGGACCTCCTGGCGTAGGGCTTCAACCTCTTCATCCCAGCCAAGGGACGCGGCAAGGCGTCTGGTGAGACTGCTCGGACGACATCGCCGAGACTTCGGGCATCAGCCAAACGCTGGTCGAGGTCGTAGTCGACTCGCAGCGGCGGGAACCGGACGAGGCCGATCATGAGCTGGTCGAGGTCTGCCAACCGTTGGTCCAGATGATCCTCCAACCGAGACTCGGAGCAGCGCACGGTGCGAGCGACTTTTGCTTCGATCAGGTCCTCGAGTGCTACCTCAAGCGACCAAGGGATCGGCGCGCAAGGCGAGGACTCAGGGGCGTCACCAGGTGCCGACGACGAGGGCTCGGGCGAAGCGGGCTCGTGGGCATCCGTGTAAGTTGATCGGCAAAACTGTGTTGGACCAGACACAGGGTCGACCGAGTCATCGGACCGCACACTCGACGGAGGTTGAGGAGGAGAAGATGGAGCACCTTCCTCTGAGCGAGCCGACACCCCCACGTCAACCTTCCACCGGCTTCGTGGGAGTTGGTGACGACCGCTCACGAGGGCTCGACATCGAAGGCTCGGAGAGACCGGAGTCGACAGGAACACGGGCAGCATCGACCTCGACCGAGCCCTGGCGCTCACCCGACGCCGCGCCAGCACCAGCTGCAACGGGAGTTGGCGACGGAGACGCGCCAGGAACGCCGGGCGCTTGAGCAGCCACAGACGCTGCACGGGGTACCCCGGTTGCCGAAGCAGAGGCAGAAATTGGCACCGCCGAGCCCTCGAGAGAAGACGCCGAGCCCTCGGGTAGAGGCGCAGAAGAGCCGTTCCCGCCAGCAGATGAGCGTGACGCAGCATGCGGCTGCACACGGTAAGAGAAAAAAGGTTAGCCACGGAAGCTGCGGCGCGATGAGGAACAGAGATTTCACCAAAGATATGGACTTACCGAGGAATCAGAGCCGACGGCGCGGAGGGCAGCAGCTTGCGCCTCGTCCAGAGCACTCGGCGCGCGCGACATGAAAGCAGGGACGGCGTGCACCACGACACTCTCTAGTGGGCTGGGTCGGGCCGCGGTGAGGGCTGCTGTGATATCGGGAAATGACCGAGAACAGCCCGCGACGAGGCCTAACGGTCTTGAACCTTCGAGTGACAACCAGCCGAGCACTCTGATTGATTACTCTCATTCCCCGCACTAGAGTGACAGATGGACAGTCATTTAGTGACCAGGCACGACGGGTCATAATAGATCCCCGCCGATCCCTCCAATTAGTCATAGTGGCTACAAGATTTGCCTCGCATTAGGAATCCGGACCTAGCCGAGGAGTCGTTGAGTCGTCGGTCCGGCTCGAAGGCTCGGTTGATACTTGACATTTGTATAGACATTAGGGATTAGTTATAGGGAAGGCCTCACAGCCTCTAATCACTAAATCAGAGCAGAATTTTCACCCGAAGCCACACAAGAGTCAAGTCCGTCTACCGGTAAGTCTTAGCTTAGCTGTAGAGTCTGGATACGCACGGCCGACGCGGGGTATGTCTGCCGGTGAGCATAAGGTACATTGACCGAGTGTTCATCCCTGGAAAAGGCCAAGAGTGAGTAGTGGCCGAGTGTAGGAGGTATTAGAGACCTCGATGTACGGTTGTACGTTTGTCTGGGTGTGTGGCGTGCCCCCCCCCCCCCC